GTCATATCTAGAGTTGTAGATCTCAAATTTAGGTCTACTTTATATGGATGGAAAGGTCATGTGGAGTTTTGGTTTTGAAAAGGCCATTTTCAAGTCTAAATTGTAGCAACAACAAAGAAGTCTGAATCTATCATGTAACCCGAACACTGTTCAGTGTTTAGCCCATATTTGGAGTTCTAAAAGTCCAAATGACATCAATTTTTTTCTTGCAAAGCTGAGATAATTTGCTAGAACTCTCATGTTTTCAAGTGGTTCCATTTCTGACGTTATCAATCACTTTTTTGGCAGAAAAGAGAAGATAAGGATTGTCACCAAGTCAAGAGTTGACCACCCACTCATCAATTAGTCATCAAATCAATAGTTTTCAATTTTAGCCTATAAAAGGAGGCATTTGCCATGTATTTAGGCATCTTGGTTTCCACATCAAGATCATGCTCTTGCTTTCATTAATATCGAGTTTATGCCATTCATTTTCTTTCCTTTACTTAGTTAAGTTTTGTCTTATTTATGTTCTTATTTTGTTTATTTATTTTTCTTTTATTCATTATGTTTAATTAATTTATTATGTCAAGGTGAAAAGATTACACTAATGGTGTAAGAATAAATGGTGTAAACTTTACATGGACTTTAATGTTTGATACCAACATGTTTTTTATTTGTTATCTTGTTCACTCTATAATACTTTGCTTGTTAAATGACTAATCTAGATTTATGTTGTATAACACTTAGTACAACAAATACTTGGTACTTTCATAGCCCATACTGTTTAGTATAACCAACACCTAAGATATGAAAAGAACTTGATTTGTTGTTAACATAAGTTATAATCATGAATGCCTGACAATATTTACAAGTATTAGCATTAATAGAATAAAATAACTAATGCAATCATGTTTATAATTTATAATTTGATTGGAACCTCCTTTCTATATGGTTTTCAATTGAATAATAAGAGTTTATAGTATACTTGTTTGATATACCATTAGTGGATCCTTTAACCTTTACATTTGTTGTTATCATTGTTTAATCCGTACATTAATCTTCCATCTCAAAGTTCTCATCAAACTCTTCATCTTCTTCTTCTTATTCTATTATTATTAGTAGTAGTATTACAACTACTATCGTTGTTATTATTGTTGTTGTTATTGTTGTTGTTTATAATGTGTATAATTAATCTCTTTATGGTTTGACCTCGGTCTTGTCGGGTTATTTATTACTTTGACACTCCTGCACTTGAAAGAAGACTCTAATCTTTTGGTCATGTTACCCAACTCTTCCCTGAGTGCTTAACTAGTAATGATTGGTGCACCTACCATCCTATTACATGTTAAACCCCTATATTGCCTTCATGAGGGCGATTACTAGGACAACAAGAGACCCTTTTAGAGTCTAAATAACAAACCTACCCTTATCATGCATAAATAAATTTAGAACTTGCCTTTAGGGTGTATGCTCCCTACATTTTGTTTTGCATCAAAACGAGCCTTTCGTGAAGCATCTTGAAATCAAGACTTGCGGGTGACATAATGATTGTCACATAGAAAATTTTCATCACAGAGTTTAGACAAGAAACAAGATTCTTGTTTCATCATGCAAGGAGTACAATCATGTGTCACCCCTTGAAAGGTGAGTTTATACTTGTTCATATATTTAACATGCATACATGCCAGGTTGAAATATAGGTCCCTAAAAAGTCCACAACACTCGACTTCAAGCAAAAATCATGGAAGATGAAGAGCGTGCTCAATGTGATGCCTATTTTCAAGAAGAGTTGGAGTCTCTAAAAACAAGTGTAGCTCAATTCACTAGCTTACTCGAGCAAACACTAAGAAATACGTCTGGTGAAGGTCTTTCTAACCGACCTGTCACTTTTAATCAGGCTCCTACGATAGTTTCGCTTAAAGAAAGAATGAGCGAACATGGTCAAGAGCCTCAACAAAACCCAACATTTGTGCAGTCAGCGACACTTGTGCCAGCCTTAACAATCACTCTGCATTAGCTAACGAGTCCCATAAGGCTAAATGATCTGATAGCATTGATCAAGCTAGGATAGAGGTGCTGGAAGCCAATCTTAAAGTCATTAAAGGGGCAGACTTAGATGACCTGGTACGACAGCAAAATTGTATTTAGTCCCAAACATGGTTATCTCAAAGAAGTTCTGTGTTCCTGAGTTTATCAAATATAGTGGAACACAATGCCTCATGACTCATCTTCGGTCCTACTGTAATAAAATGACAGAAGTAGTACATGATGAAAAACTACTGATGTATTTTTTTCAAGACAACTTAAGTGGAGCAACTTTGAGCTGGTATATGAGATTGGATAACACAAAAATCCAAAGATAGAAAGATCTAGTTGTTGCTTTTTTCAAACAGTACAAGTACACCTTGGATATCGCTCCCGACAAAACCAGCTTATCCAATCTAAAGAAAAAGGACAAAGAAAGCATAAGGGATTATGCTCAAAGATGGCGAGAAGCAATTGCTCAAGTACACCCTCCACTTCTAGACAAAGAGATGGTCTCTTTATTTGCCAACACACTTAAAGCATCCTATTATGAACATATGATGGATAGTTCAGCTCAGCAATTTACTAACATTGTGGTAGTGTGTGAAAGCATAGAACAAGGCATTAAGAGTGGTAGAATTACTGCGCCTATCGAGAAAAGAGACTTTAAAAGAAAAGAGGTCTACCATGTTGAAGATGCCTATAGGGATAGGAAAAACTCATCCCAAAACTACTATACTCCATTCCACATTGCTAACATCAAAAAACCTGAGCTCTAAAACTTCCCAGCCAAAACCTAAAATGGAAATTACTAAAGGGTTCAAGAACAACTACCTTCATTGCCGATAAACCTGAATGAGATGTATCAAAAGCTATTGAGCATCAGACATATAATGCTAGAACCTTTGACACTTGTGCAACCATCATATCCTACTTCGTATAAGTTAAAACTAAATTGTGAATACTATGCGAGTATTGCGGGGCATAACATCCATACCTACAATGCCTTCAAGAGAAAGCTTTTGTAATTAATCAAGGCCGAATGGATATAATTGGAAGATGCCCCCAATATGAATACGAACCCGCTGCCCAATCCTGCTTAAAGCATATGGCAGTTAGCTTGCCTTATTATTGTTTTTTGTTTCATGCTTTTGAACTAGACTGTCTATAGCAAATGAGCCCTTGATAAAGAAAATCAAATGCTTTCATGTTATCACACTCCTTTCGTTGTTATAACATGTAAATAACATTTTAAGCATAACTTTCGCTCACAAAAACTACAACATGAATAATCCTTTAGTGTTTTCTTTTGGCTCTTTCAAAACCATACATAACCTTATATGTTTTTAAGGATATTTATGGGACCTCCAAAGTGAATACAAAAATAAACATCATGTTGGTATTTGTGCAAAACAACTACATTCTGGAAATTCAAGTGATTCCTTAAACAGGAAAATTGAAAGAAAAAAACAAAAAATTGAGACAAAAGCAAAAACAAAAGCAAAACATTGTGATATGACTCAAAAGCTGAGTTTTATTTGAATGAATAAATCATTTTGCATACGCACATGAAAGTAAGACCTACCGATCCTCAATTCATTGAGTTTAAGATGAGAAAATGTCATCTTTGATAAATCCTTTCACGAGGCTAAAATATATCTTTTATAGTCATATTTTGAGCCTAGTAATGTTTTTAAAATAATCTTGATTAGGATCACACCCTATACTGAGGGGCAAATAAAAGAGGTTTTAAAGACCATCAAAAGACTTCATTATCATCAAGACAAAGCAGTGAAAATGGATATTGGAATTGATCGTGTTATTATCATCCAGACAAAACAGTGAAAATATGGAATTGATCATGTAATTTGATTGAAAAATTCAAAGGATTAGAAAGATTTGAGTTGCACATAAAAACAACCGAGGTGCTTATGCTTTACCAAACAAAAATAAAGAAAACAAAGAGAAAGAGCTCAAACTCGACACTGGGGGGCAAGAAATCCTTTTTGGCGAGAAATTCAAGAGAAAAGGTCAAGGAATAAGCACAAGTGATCCTTAGTCTTGAAATCCCTCAAACACCTTTTTGAGCCTGCAAAATATCCTTTTCTTCATAACCATAGCCTAAGCCTACATTACATACCTAATAAAGCCTTTTCTTGTATGGTTAAATCATTATTCATGCAAATAAAATAAATTCTTTGAACCGATTCAGTTCTCAATAACCCTCAATTTCATATTTCAACTTTTTATGATCAACCAAATGTTACTTCATCTTTAACCCAAAAGCTTCAAAATGATTTCATCACTTCAAGGACCTATTAATAGGAATCGCTTGCATTCTTTGGAACAAGTTTATTTTGAACCAATGTCAAAATGACTTTTGTGGTTTGAATAACTTGGAAGTTCCAAAAATTTACATGAAAACATTTCCTTATAAATAAACCAAACTATCTTACACATAGCCTTATCCCCAAAGAAAACCCAATGTGAACACTTGGGGGGCATGATCAAGTTGAGGGGCAAACATCCGGTAGGGCTGGCTCCATGATTCTATTTCTAAGAAAAATATTGAGTCAAATTAACAAACCTTTTGAGATAAAGTACAAAGAAATATAACGACATCAAATCCTTCCCAAAAGGTCAAGATCACTACATTTGACTCGAGTAAATAAGGGTGGAAAAGGCCATCGAAGTTTACTACCAACACTCCAATTTCTAAGGAAAAGAAAGACATTATGAAGAAATGGGGGTCTATATTTCTCAGGTAAGTATACATGCATATCAATCATAATGCATTTGTTTTCAACATTAACAGATCAATATTACACCATCAATACTTAAGTAGTGTTTTTTCTAACCCTACCTCCCTTTTGAGTGCGCCTTTGAGCCTTCACCACTTAGGTAGTGTGTTTTCTAACCTTACCTCCCTGTTAAGTGCGCATTTGAGCCCTGACTTACCAATTAGGTAATGCGTTTTCTAACCCTACCTCTTTTCTTTTTTGAGTGTGCTGGATTTTGGTTCTGGTTATAAGGAATTGACGATAGGAATCTCAGTTTAGCCCAACTAAACAGGATTTTGGATCTGGTTAAAGGGGATTGGTGAAAGTTATCTTAGTGTCACCTAACCACCAGATTTTGGTTCTGGTTAGAGGAAATTGATGAAAGGAGTCTTAGTCTATCCTAACCACACATAGGATTTTGGTTCTTACTAGAGAGGGTTGATGAAAGGAATCTCAGTCTATCCTAATCACACATAGATTTTTAGTTCTGGTTAAAGGAGGTCGATGAAAGGGATCTTAGTTTAGCCCAACCACACATAGGAATTTATGCTTAATTAAGGTTTCTGGTCAACCAAGCTTTAAGAAAATCAATTTTGTTTATCTTTACAATACTTACAACAGAAATTCTTTGCTTCGTAAGCACTTTCAAGAGAGGGGCAACTATCATAACCCATTTTTAGGCCCCCTCGCATAAAAAATAATAAAATACAAAACAATATAAACAATAGGCAAAGGATGCCAACACACCCAAGAAATGGTTAAAAATTGGTTAAGGTGATTCAAAAATACAAAGATTAAAATTTGACAATATTTTATTGATTGATAATAGTCCTGTTGACAAAGAAAATTCAATTTGAGTAAGAAAAGTTTAAAATCAGATGTTTATGGACTCAATTAAATTTTATTAAATGCTTAATTGAATTTATGGAGAGTTTGATTGCAAGAAAAATTGATTTTGGAGTCAATTTGGGCTTTAATTGGAAGAAATTAAAGTTCTAGGGTCAAATTATAATTTTTAAAAGTTAAGCTGGTAAATCAGGGAGTTAATTATATAAATATTAAAGTTTGATGGCTAATTAGGGACTTGATTGAAGAAATACGAAACCAATAACAAAATGGAAAAGACACTTAAGTAGAGGGGTTGAAATTAAAACTGGTAAGGGGCCTAATTGAAGAAATTAGAAGTTTATTGATCAATTAAGGGACAAATTGCATAATTTCAATTCCAAGGATCAAAGTGAAAATAATGGCCAACTTTAGGGTCGATGTTGGATTTTTTACGGGTATGCAATTGCATTGATTTTTAAATCAAAATTGCAATTTAGGTTTTGATTTAAAAAATTATAAATTGAGGACCAATATGAAAATTGACATGTTTTTTCACCTTTTTATTTAACTGAAACAGTGTGTTTTGACCAAAATGGCACCGTTTCATTCAGTGTTCACTTAAAAAAAAAAAGATCAAAATGGTGCTATTTTGAACGGCACCATCATCTTCTTTTCCTAGACATGCGAAATAGGGGAAGAAAGTGATTTTTTCTTCCTTCCTCTATCATTGCCCTCAATCCTTCTAGCTAACACCTTCAAAAAGACACCGACACAACTTTCCATGTAGTAGACGAATAGTGGAGGGGCGGCAGCACAGGGGCTGCCCGAGCCACGTCCCCCTATTTTTGCCTATAAAAACAGAAATGAGCCAGGTTTGGCCCAATTCATTTAAAAAAAAAAAATTCAAAAATATTTGTTTCAGAATGTTATTTTGATTAATCGAGCAGTATTTTATGTCATAAAAAAACAAATCCGATATTAAAATACTCAGTTTTTGTCAAAACTTTCAAAAATACAAAAAAATTGAAAAAAAAAATTTGTGCATAGGGCCAAGTATCTCAAAGCTAACAAAAATCATATTGTATTTTTCATACACTAAAAACAATATTTTAGCTTGTATTTTGGCTTTAATAACCAGTTTTTTAAAGTCAAGAGAACATTGACCAAAATTTCAAAAACAACAAAACTTTTATTTTTTTTTCTCTTACTATCCGGGGTATGACATTACACGTAATACATATTTTGGATATCTAATTTTTTTGGATAGAACAGTTAAGTTTAACCGTATTAAAGATAAGAACCTCCTTGTTGAGTAGGGCTTGTCTTGAACCTTACAAAGACCAACAATTAAAAACCATAACACAACTTTAGATTTTAACAGACAAAACAATGCAGCCTACCTTAGGTAGGGCGTATTTGGAGTGCTAATACATTTTTTTTACGCAACTACTCTCCGTATCCGATCTTTGAGACTAGTTGGGATTTCTAGTAACAAGAATACTAGGTGGTGACTCTCATTCAAATTTTTTACTGATAAGAGACACAAGAATTCCTAGTCTCTTTATATTTTGCCAGAAATACACCATATTTGTTTCCTGAAGGGTAAACGATTGTCATAACGCCACACACGTACGACACCATCCATCAGTAATTTACCAAGAGTTGTAAAATATTTACTACTTATGTTACAATCATGGATGTATGTACATACAAATACAGTCCGTTAGTATTTTACCAAGAGTTGTAAATATTTACTACATATGCCATAATCACATGGGTAGACGATATAGTCCGTTGGTATTTCACAAGGGCGAGACTGTTAGAGTTCTATGTTGATGTAGTTCACAATTACCGATGGACTCATCGACAGACTGTGCAAATTTCAAAGGGCAATATTAATGCATCTCTAACCACGGGTATATACCGATGAATGGTGAAAATTCTAGAGGGTTATTTAAAAATTTTAGTGAAAATTTCGAAATTTATTGACAGAATAATTAAAATAATATTATTTAAATATTTCATCAATAAAAATGTAGTATAAATCCCTGCGATTGCCCTTTTAGTTCATTTCTCCCCTCCATTTCATCTCATTTTTTGTTTTCTCTCATCTATTATGAAAATTTTAGTTGTTTTCTTGTAATCTTCAACAAATTAAAAGCTACGTATTTTGATTTAATATGCTTAATGACTTTTTTTCTCATTTTTTCTTTGTTTTATTAAAAATATATTTTTGATGGGTTTTCTGTTTTTTGTTTTTAATATTGTACATAGATAAAGTCTTGAAATAAACACTATTAAGATAAGCATTTATCATTCATAAAGTATATATTTTTTTATCAATATATTTTATTTTTTGTATTGCCATAATAATTGAATATTTTATTGAATTTTAATTGTTATTGCTAAATTTACCTTGTAAATGGCAATTGAATATATAAGATTAAGTTTGATAATTTTATCTCAATTTTACTCTATTATTGTATGATATGTGTTTAATTATTTTCATTAATTTTAATTGTTATTTATAAATTTCTATAGATATTAGTTGTATATATATAATTAAATGTTATTTTTCCCTTTATTTTATTTTTTAATTTGTATAGATTTTAGGTTGTATATAAGATTTTTCAATAAAGTAATTGGTTTGTGGTTATTGTCAATATTTGAACATTTGGAAATTTTGGGTAATCTCCATTATAAGGGAGGTGATGTCGATTTTTTTAAATAATTAAATTAAATTATGTAATTATTCATATAAATTTGTGTAGATGCGTAGAATGAAATCAACAACACTTTGTGAGCATATGGTTGCAACTAGTTTTTCTAGCAACGAGGATGACTTATCCTTAGGTGCCGATCAAGAAGAGGCATTTGCGCCGACTCGTGATGTTGACTCTTTCAGCATGGTTTCACAATGCAGAGGCGGTATGCCTTCACTACGAGGTTAATTCCCCCTAAAGTATTAGGCACATTGGAAGAATGACCTTTCAATGTAAGTTTGTTTCGGTTTTAATTTTTTTTTAACTTATAACATAATTTATGAATAATTATTAATATTTTATTAATTTTATTTATTTTCAGGTTCACAAATATTGAGGCTGCCCGAGTAATAACATTGACATTTAAATCATCAATGAAGATTCCATTATTTAAATGAAGTTAAATTTTCAGACATCCTGATTGGAGATCTTATATTGATGTATGGTTTCAAAGATTTTAGATTGGTGTTAATTTTTAATTTTCAGCTTATTTTTAATAAATTATTATTATAATTTTAAATAAATTATGATTTTTATTTTAAATAAATTCTTTATATACAGTAAAAATTCAAGTGGGATAGTGCGCATGACAATGTTGCGATAAGGGGATGGGAAAACCACACGGCAACTAGATAATATCGAAAACAATACAATATTTTTTTAAAAAATATTTATGTTTTCAAATCTAATTTGTCACTATGGAAGTAGGCTGCATAATTTTTTATATAAATCACAAAAAAAAACCAAAAAAATACATGAGAGATAATAGTCTATAAGGTTGGAATGACATGATAGTTTGGAGGGATTTCAAACTGCCATCCATCTTCGAGAATCTACGGCCAAGATGCTCATAGTCCAATGTCAGCAACTGGAACCGGTAAATTCATTGTTTGGTGACCATACACACTGGCCGTTCTATTTCGAATAGTAAGATTAATTTAAATGAAATATATTATTAATTAATTTGTTGTTACTTATAAATATATTTTAGTGAAAAAAGTTACAAGTATTATCTTTCTTGTTTCTGTGAGAAAAATCTATCTTGTTTTTTTAAAATAAATACATTTTTTATTTTTTTATTGACAAAGAAAAACTGAAAAAGCAAAAGGAAATTGGAATTAGAGTTGGATGGGATACTTTGCAAAACTTGAGATTACACAGGTTGGTCTAAATAACAGATTGTAACAAATTTTTTATATTCCATTTACTGGAATCATAATAAACTATTGGCAAACCTGTATAATAAATTTATTCTATGATAATCTTTCTTTTCTTTTCTTTTGATAATATTTGTTTGTGTTCGCTTGTTCTATGTTTGTGTCTCTTTGTGTTTTTCTCTTCTCTGTTCCTCTTCTTCTTGTTTTTTCTCCTATTTTTCATTTTTTCTTCATATGTTCTATCCTGGTTTTCTCCATCTGTTCTTTTGTCCCTGGGTTGTTTCTCTTTCCTTGTGTTTTTCTTTGTTTGTCCCCCATTCTTTGTGGCTTATTTTTTACTTTCATAAAGCTAGAGAATGCCATGCGTTCATAAGATAATGAGGCGACCTTGTAGGATCATTGTTGCAGGAGTACTGATAATGTCATTTGAAGATGCATCCAGGGGCTCGGGTTGGAAAAACGTGATCTATAAATGACAAAGGCAATGAACAATTTTTTATATATATATTATCTTTAAACAGCGTTGTTTTCTCAATTGAAATGATTATTTTATCTTGCCCCATAGAGTTCTAACATTGTGAAATTGGGCCTTTATTCATGAAAAATCTCTTTGTTTTTTTTTTTTTAATTTTCCCCCTAAATCAACTGCAATTGGACCCCTCGATTTCAACATTATTTACAAAACAATCCATGATTTTAGAATTATTCAGTTTAGTCCTTAATTAACTCTTCAAATTTTAATTCTTTCAAAATTACCCTTGGAAAAATCAATTAAACCCCCTATATTAGCACTACATATTCGCTTTGGTCATTGGACTTTAATTTCTTGTAATCTTAACCCAAATCAGCCCAAAACTTAAGTATTTTTTCAATTAAGTTCTTGATTTCATTAATTAAATTAATTTCAAGTTTAATTCAGTCCCCAAACTTATCAATTCATCTAATTTTTGACCAAATTAACTCTCAAATTTATAATTCCATGCATATTAGTCCTTAAACTTTCATTTTATGTTGTCTTGAACCAATTCTCAAATCATTTTTTATTCATTTATTTTTTATTTTTACTTTTTTAAAAAATAAAAAGTTGAGTTATGAAAATTGTTGATACAGATCAGCCCAATACCAAGCGTAATCATGCCAGCAACCCATTGGAGGTGCCAATTGGGTCAATCACAAGAGTTAAGGCAAAGAAGCTTAAAAAAGCATTGAATGAGCTTGCTCAAAACATATGGAGCAAAATGGACCTAGAGGGGCTTAGGACATTTAAGGAGCATGAAGGGTAGCCTTTAATTCATTTAGTTCAAGTCCAAAAAGAGCCCAATTCGAGTGGAACAAGGGGTTGATGTGTCCGGCCCAATACCAGCCTTGTTAGGCTTGTTTTTTTTTTTTTCCCCTAATACTACAAGGATAAAGAGTCAGCAATTTATTCTCCTAATTAACTAAGGAAGTTGGCCATATCTCCTAAGGGGTCTATTAGGGTTTTTTAAGTCTAAAAGTCAATATAAATAAAGATATAACCAAACATGCAAGGTTATGCAATTTTCATATCAATAAACTTATTTGCTGCACTTATTGTGTGTTGGTGGATAATCTCCCTTCCTTGGTTCTCTAAAAACTAAAAACGACTTATCGATGAACAACTGTCTTCGTGGCATCATCCTTATACTTCTCGTTTACGAATTAATATTTATTGGGTGGGGGTTTCTGTTTCCAATAGTGCTGGTACCTAGATACAATTTATCTTTGTGTCACACTCCTATCAAACTTGATTTACTTGGCTTTCTAGGAATTAGTTTCTTTGCATGTGGGTTGCGTGACCAGGTAATCACGATGTTCGCATCAGTGGGGGTTCATTTCAAATAGTGCTAGTGTTTCAATACTAGTTATCCTTGTGTCAAATTCCTATCAAATCTGATTTACTTGGCTTTTCAAGAATTAATGTCTTAGCATGTGAGTTACTTGACCGTGTGATCAAAGGTTTACATCAAGAGTTGGAGAAAACTTGTAATGATGCCATGAGAGTGAAAGTGTAACAACCCTGGCTTTTAGAATGATGTTGACATGGATTCAAAAATAATAAGAAGAAATAATACTAGGAATTTTTTTCTTTTTTTATAATGAAAAATCAACATCATTTTCTTTCTATGAACGAATACCAAAATAATGTCAACGCTATTTAGTTTTTTATGAATAGCATACTAAATCCATAGTTGTTGAAAAATACAACTAATGTTTTTCCATGCTTTCATTTAATAAAATCTAAGAAAAATAAATCCAATATAATTAATTACTCACAATAATTGAATTTCATGTTTCATATAATTTAGATAATAAACATAAATATGCTATATAAAAATTTTAAAAAACAAAGTATTACATAAACTTAGACATATAAGTTAGAATTAATGTTAATTACAACACAAGAAAGAGTTTTCCCATTAACTTATTAAACTAAGTAGTAGATGTACAAAAGAGACACCAATACAAAGTTGAGATGAACAAGCACATTAATTTATAAAAACACCATAAAACTAATTAAACAATTTAAGAATTTAGACAACACCCTATCAATTTCTTTTAAACTACAAGGTTCTAATTCCAACTAATCCGATAACAAATTTCCATAATTGCCCATTTAACAAGGTACTAGTTCTAAACTAGGAAACTGGTTCAACCAGTCGCCCATTCCTAGAGCATTATAAGGGCTTTCATCTTAATAGTGTTCATATTCAATTTTCTAACAACTGTAACAATAGTAACATTAGCACAACAACTTATATGGCATCATATTAAAGATGTTCTTCCTTCATTTCTCCTACATGATCATCCCTAATTTGAGAAATAAGTGATTTTTTAATCTTTAACATCTCTTCATCAGCTAGATACTAAACATCATTATAATTCTCAAGTATTGGCATCTCATCCTTCTTAGATTTGTCACTTTGAATTCAATATCCTTATGCTATCTCATAATCAGTCTTTTTTTTTTTAATTATAAAGCTATATTGATGTGAACATCGTAATCATGTGGTCAGGCAAAAGACACCAACTCCCTCTAGGTCTATCCTACTCCATATATTCTGAACAAGCCCATTCAATGCTTTTTTAAAAAAATTTGCCCTAGCTCTTATAATTGGCACTTCCAATCGGTCATTGGCATGATTACGCTTGGTGTTGAGTTGATTCTCATGATTAGTACTTAAAAGTGTATTTTTATCAAGGTTTTAAGTCATCATTTTGCACTTGAAGTATCAATAACTCCTTAACTAAAGCATGTTTTATAATAACATATATAATAATATAAGATACCTTTAATTTGTGGTAAATGTTCATTTTAAATGTAGGCCTATCATATAAATGAAAGGATTGATTGATGAATTTAAGAATTGAAATTGAAAGGATAAAGAGATGGTCAAACTTCGAAAAGAGATGTCGGTGCAGTCCAAACCGGAACACTATTTGGTAATTCGATCATATCTCGAGCTGTAGATCTCAAATTTAGGTATACTTTATATAGATGAAAAGGTAAGACATAGGCCTACAACTTTCATATGGAGCCTAAGATTTAACAAGGTCATTTTCAAGTCCAAATTGTAGTAACAATAAAGAAGTCTGAATCTGTCTTCCAGCCTAAGCACTATTCAGTGTTTGGCTCATATCTAGAGTTCTAGAAGTCCAAATGACCTGAAGTTTTTACACAAGAAAGTTGAGACAATGTTCTACAACTTACTTGTTTGACATACCATTAGTGGATACTCTAACCTTAACATTTATTGTTATCATTGTTTAATCCTTACGTTAATATTCTATCTCAAAATTCTCATCTTCTTTATTATTATTATTATTATTATTATTATTATTATTATTATTATTATTATTATTACTATTACTACTATTACTACTATTACTACTACTACTACTACTACTATTACTACTAGTATTATTATTATTATTATTATTATTATTATTACTATTACTACTATTACTACTATTAC